TTTCACTTCGCGCGGTGCCTTCTTTCACTAGGTCAACAAAGCAAGCATGCAGCCACACACTTCCTCTCTTTGGCTTCGAGTGTATGCAATGCTTGTCTATTTTTACCCTTCTCAAAGTGCATGCAATGAAAGAGAAGCCGAGCACACACAAGGCTCCCTCTCTCTCTTTGCAACGCATGTGTGCTCTCCTCCAATCATTTTAGCACACTTTTCTTCTCTATTTTTTATCTCATTTGCAAATGTGCCAACACCACCAAGTGTACACCATCATGTGCAGGCGTGTTAGCATTTTCACAACCATTTTCAAGGAGTTAATCACTCAATTCACCACGTCACTCGATCCTAGCAACGATGCAAAGTTAGATCACTCGAGTGGCACTAGATGACCGATATGCAAATAAGTTTGCCCCTCTTGATAGTACGGCCATCTATACTAAATCTAGTCATAAACTTCTCTACACACCTATGACTGGTGAAATGAAATACCCTATGTTATATCTTTGCCTTACGCATTCCATTCCATCTCCTCCAATGTTGATGCAACACATGCTCCAACCAATCACAAATGATATGATCCACTTCATATCATCACGTGACCGTATTGGTTCATCGATCTTGACTTCACTTTCTCTTCACTGTTGCTTCGGTCCATCGGCGTCAAGTCATCACTCAACTTGCCCTTCACACTTGCAACCAATCCATCGAGCCAAGCCTTGTCTTGATCTTCTCCACCTTAGTCACATGACTCAATGTCATGTCTCATATGCAATGAGCTCCTTCATCATATATGTGAGTCTTGCAACAAATCCAAGACATCTTCACCGTCATGGCATGAGTTGCTCACACAAGTATATATGTGGACTAATTACATGTATATCTTACATTAAACACAATTAGTTCACCTAGGTTGTCACTCAATTACCAAAACCAAACAAGGACCTTTTAGTGGGCCCGCGCCGCCCCTACACGTCATCAGCGCCGCCAGCCACTTTCCACGCGCATCTCATGTCCAACATTAATCTACTTTTGAAACATCTAGATGCAAAAGTTGCAACATATAAAAGAAGACAGATAAAACACTTGAAACAAGCATCTAAAACACTTGCAAAAACGCCTGAAAAACACTTGAAAACAATTACAAACATATGCAACATCCAGATAAAACACTTGCAAATATACGTATGAAACACCTAAAAACACTTGAAACATATGCTTGCAACATGCATCTATATATGCAACATCTAAATAAAAATTTGCAACATTCGTCTGGAACAGATGAAATATTCGGAACATATACTTGAAACATACGAGTATAGCTATTACAACATGTGCAACATCCCAATCTACTTTTACAACATCTGTATGAAGCACTATCTAAAACAATTGAAACACTTGAAACATAGGTTTGCAACATATCTGAAAACGCCATAAAACACTTGGAAACACACAGCGTTGTCGACGGCCATGACCTACCTGGTGGGGGAACTGCAGTGGCGCAAGCCTCCCCTTCCTGCCGACGACGCGAGGTGTATGGGGGCACAGGCGCAGGCCTCCTCAAGGTTTTTAATTTCGGTATCGCCAAAATTTCGGCCACCACTGAAATTACCAAATTTCGCGAAATTCGGCCGAAATTTCGCCGAATTTTTTTTAGAGATTAGCACATGAAGTATGTTTTTTCTAAAAAAAATTGGATCTAAACAAATATTAGTATGATTTATAACTACATATCTATTAAATAGAAGAATATGCAATATAAACAATAGAAAAATATAAGCTTAGAGTTATATAGCACATGTATTAGTGTATTAAAAAAATTCGGAGTTTTCTTTCGGCCACCACCGAAATTACAAAATTTCGTGAAATTCGGCCAAAATTTCGCCGAAATTTTGAACCCTGGGCCTCCTCAGGCGCAGCAAGCCTCCCCAAGCGCAGGCCTCTACTTCCGCGACGGGCGAGGTGAGTGGGGGCGCGGCGCTGAATGGTGGTGCGTTGTTGATGTGCAGAGCAGCGAGGGAAAGGGTCGGATGCCTCGCAGGAAGGAACACCACGGGAAGGGCCAATTACGACGGAGAGATGCCAGAGCAAGTGCTTCATGTTGAAGAGGTAGTGGGGAAGAGAGAGCGCTCTGCTGCAGGACCTTGCGGCAGCAAGGTCGGCCGGAGGTGCAGTGCTGTAAGAAGCTTGGAACAGTTGAAGAGGACACCACAGCCCGTGGGAAATTTTTCTTTTTTTTAAGGCAGATCCGCTAAGCAGGAGGAAGGCAGGACAGGGAGCCACGTCCTACAAGACGGACGCCCGTAGTATTACATGAGGTGCATTCTCGGATTGCCTGCAAAGCGCAGGCAGTCCACAGGGAGCAACACTTCGAAATAGTATTACATGAGGTGCATTCTCGGATTGCCTGCAAAGCGCAGGCAGTCCACAGGGAGCAACACTTCGAAATATTACATGAGGTGCATTCTCGGATTGCTTCATGGTACGTACATCTCATGAGATTGTTGGCTGAAGCTACACGACCCTGCCGATCCGGGTGTCAACAACGAGAGTCGGCTTTGAAGGTTCTGAAAACTCTAGAGCTTGTGCTAGTGTTAGCCTACGGTTCCTCCAAGCATCTTCTGCCCATTGCTTCATCCGTTCACCTTCCGCCCTCCTGTTAGACTGAATTAATAACAGCTCTGCGTACTCACCTGCAAGTTGAGGTCAGTTTGAGTATTGTCTCAAAATATTAAGAATGAGCCACAAGGTAACAATTCGCATAAGCAATATTGAATTATTGATATACACAAGAACTGGTAGCAAAGATAGCTTACATTTAAATTGATGCAGTAGTCAGATTTGTCAGGACCCGGCAAATGCAAGGCTTATTAAAGATCGATGGGAGACAAGAATGGGCATAGAATAATCCACGGATAGACATGGATCTGCTCTAGGTGCCTGTTTAGTTCCCAGAATTTTGCAAAAAATTTCAAGATTCCCCGTCACATCGAATCTTTGGACGCATGCATGAAGCATTAAATATAAATAAAAAATAAAATTAATTACACAGTTTAGACGAAATTCACGAGACGAATCTTTTAAGCCTAATTAGACTATGATTGGACACTAATTGCCAAATAACAACGAAAGTGCTACAGTGCCATTTCCCAAAAAAAATCACCAACTAAACAAGGCCTAGATCAATTAACTGAAAAATTAGTTAATTGCGGGCTAACACCTATAGCAAATAATGGAACTCAGTATTAAAATCATTAGAAATCATTATTTCCCACAGTTAGCTCGTATGAGGGTTACAATGCAAACCTGTTGGACTTGAATATAAAGGTACGGTGGAATAAGGTTCTTAAGACAGAATGTATGAAGATGCAGTTCTGTATTCAAATGCAACTGATTGTAGTGACACCAGATTATAAACAGTATGCCGGCAGTTTGCTTTGTAACAGCTTGATAGCAAACTCAAATACTGAACTAATCATCATTACAGATCACAAACAACATGGCATCATCATTACCGTGCTAACTACTAAGTAACCTGATGTTAAGAGTTTCATGGACTAATTCCTAATATAAGAGCATTAGTGTAGAAGATACTAAAAAAATAGATAATAATAGTTCAAATTTAAAAATATAACCTCTAGCCAGGGAGATAATATCTCCCCATTCGACCTGCTTGCAGGTACCTGCAAAATAAAAATAATGTCAATATGTCAAAAGGAACCTTGTCATCGATAGAAGATCATTGTTTTTACCCTCAGAATTAATAGCAGGAGCTTTCAATACTTCTAGGGCCTTCCTGTACAATCCCTGCAACCAAACAGCTGATTAGATATATTGTGTTCATGTATAGGTCACATAGATAGAATAAAGTTCCTCACAAGTACGAGCAGGGAGAAGAGAGAATTAAGGATAAATGTTATTCATAATGATTTGGAGTGAACACAAACTGTTCAAAGAGTGAAGGATTTACAGACCTCCTGGACCATAATTGAAGTAGAACCTTCCGATTTTGCCTTCAGCTTGTACATTCTAGCTATACAGGTCAATATAATACCGACCTTTGGGTGGTTTGCACCTACATGGATTAAAGGTTATATGATTATTCAATTGTGGTCAAGTACTTGAATGCAACTATGTTCTTATATTCACTTTAACAAACTTATTGTGACAAACCAAATTGTTCTTCAGCCTTCTGTAGAGCTCTTGTGAGATAATCCTCTGCCTCATCAAACTTCCTGGATTAAAATGAAAAGGTGAGCCCCCATAAAAGGGACGATATTAATCCAAAAGGTGAATGATCTCTGTGGGTTCATAAATCAAATATTGGGATTAATCTATAATATATAACAAAAGAATAATGGTCGAGATGATTCTGTTTCTCACCCAGAGTGAGATAAAAGCTGGCCATATGAGCAAGTGGCCCCAAGAGAAGCCTCCTCAGGAACCATGTTTCCAGCTGCTAAAAGGCTTCCAGACATATCATCCATGCAAAATGCCTCAAGAATTTTCTCATACACTTGTGCTGCCATTTGAAAATCCCCAACACAATGCAAATATTCACCATATGAAATGGCAGCATTTTCTGAGGAAAGGACATCAATGAGACTCAAGTATTCACTATGGAAAAGAAAAATGTGAATATTCTGTTTCAAAGATAGTTATACGTGTTTGGTTTTCGCCTCCAGAGAAGTCTCTGCACCAATCAACAAACAGCTGGGCAGCTGATACAGAGCAAATGTAAGCCAAATTTTGTAGTCTGATCTAACGACAACATTCATGACATCAAAAAGAACCTGATTCAGTTTCTCCATTCAGGAGTGCAACAAGTCCTCTGATAGCATTAACCCGAAATTTAAGATGGTCCTGATCAGACCATTTGCTATCATCTTTGATTGACAGATCAACTGAATCATCTGGGGAAATCAAGTAGGACATCTCCTGTATTCAAAATACTTTAAAACCTCACATAAGGACACTGAAGACTAAATGAGCTTCTAGTACCAAACCTGCTCTGCCTCCATGTGTAATCCCATTAGTGCTTCCCACGCTGTAACTGCACAATCAATTAACAATCCCCATCAGAAATGTCATTCAAAGAGTTTTGACTATATTAATAACGCCAACTCTATCTCTTGAAGACCTAAAACTTGTTCACTTCTATTTTCGGGCAACTTCCTCAGAGACATCTCTAGTGATGTGTTTCTTTTTTTGGCACATGAAAGCCAAAGGATCATCATCCACTAAATAAGAATACTTGAGTATCTATAGCATTTGTTTCTTATTTATACCAATACCAAAAAAGCATAAGATACTGTAGTACTTACAATCTATTTGTATTGAATGTTTAAACAATAAGCATCTACAGTCTGTACAACCCACCCAATATACAGAATTACCCTTATATAAACGTAGAATTGTGAAATCACCTCTGAAAGCTGCAGAAGGGGCAACTTGTTGGGTTGCTTTGAGCTTTTCCATTGCATCTTGGCGTCTTCCACTGCACAAAGAAAACATGAGTTTACTGAAATAACTCAACTCTGCTCAAGATGGATGATCTAACTGGAAAACAAATCAAGGATCCAGTTGGGGGTTTTATATATATTGCTAAAAGCTCAACCTAATTACACCGCATGAAAGCAGTAACTATCCAAAACAGATTGATCATATTAGGTAGTTGTAATGTTAAAGCAAAACATCTATAAAAGGTATATCCTCCATTGATTTATCCTCCAGACTCAGATTACCTCATGAACCAATACATAAGCAATAGCCCAATTTGCACTCTGGTCTCTGGAAGACACATCCACTCATCCTCTGTTCTTTACATAATGTGTGCTATGCCTAAATCCTTCCTGAATGCCGCGGATATATAAATCTAACAACTTAAGGTCAGAGGCCAAATTGACCCAAAAATAAGAGCCCAAACCACCATATTACAGGGTTAGCGAAAGCTGTCAAAATTTTGATTGGATTTAAAGCCAAAGTGCAAAATAAGAGCCGTTGATGTATCATCTGGACTATCACCATGCACCAATACATTGCCAATATGCAAACCAGTAGACACACACTCTAGCAGGGGCGAAGCTACATATAACTGAGGGGGTTATGCAGTGGCGGAGCCACAAACTTTTAGCAGCCCGAAAAATGCAGCGTTCCTATTTAATAGGAATAAATTTTTCCTTCACATCGCGCAGAGGAGCCTGGCCAGCCGACCAGGGTGGCCAGGCAGTGGCTCCTCCCTTGGGGCTATGCACACCCTCCAATTTGCTCTAGCTTCGCCACCACACTCTAGTATCATACTATCATATATGCCCAAAATCATCCTAACTGCTGCACCTATACAAAGCTAAAACTCTAGAACTAGCCGCCCAGATCAAGATCAATTGGCCCAAGCCGGATCCACCAAGTTGCAGCCTTACAGAGTCCGCGAAATTTGTAAAAAAAAAAAATTGTTCGCAAAAATGAGTGGTGCGGCGCACCGTACCTCCGGTAGAGCAGCGTGGACATAGCGAGCATGAGCAGGCCCACAGCCTCGGCGCTGCCCTCGCCTCCGCCCTGCAGGTTCGAGGCGCCTTGCTCCAGTATCCGCATCGCCTCCTCTGGCACACCAGCGACAGCAGTCCAGGGCACATGAGCGAGTTCCTCAAAACCCTAATGCAGACTAGCGCAAATCGAGGGGGGGCGAAGGGGGGACCTGGCGAGCTCCGGTGCACGGCGCCGCCGAGGGCGTAGCGGACCATCTCCGCCGCCACCCTCTCGGTCTGCGTCTCGCCGGCGGCGGCGGCGGCGGCGGCAGCAAACTGGCGGGAGCCCCGCGGCTTCGGAGCGATGAGGGCCCTCCTGAGAGCCGATCGGATCCAGCTCATCGCCATGGCTGCGCGCCTGCGCCGGCGCCGCGTACTGAAGCGCTAAAAGCGGCGGAGAGCCTGGAGGAGTACCAAAGGACCCTTGGCAAGGGTGACGTGTTCAGCTTGGACGATGCATAAACCCTGAAGAAGTAGCAAAGCGGTGAGCCTGTGACACGCGGCTCTTCGACGAGTTTCGAGAACAACGGATTTGGATTATGGAGGGCGTTTTAGCTCGTTTCTCCTGTATACAAATTAACAAGGTATATGCTGTTGTGCCGTGACATAGACGACTTTATATGAGTTGAAATGATTATGTTATAGCTTGTAATTTATTAGCATATTTTTCTGCAATTCGGGGAAGCCACGTCACCAAGGGGCCCACTTCTCGCACACACCGTCCACCCAGGAATGCACCTCCGCCTGTTGTCCTTCACGTGACCGCAAAGCATCAGTCCGCCTGTTCTGTTGCTGCGCAGATGACCCATGGTCTCCCGTGGACTCATGCGCTAGCCAATTCTCCTTCACGTCTTGCCGTTTCTCTATCCCTGCACGTCATGCTTGCCATTTCTCCTTCCTAGCTGCGTCCACATGCAAACCGCTGCACCCAATCCACTCGGAGCAATCAATGCACCGGGAACTGCAGGCAATTGAGCGGTCGACTCATAGTTGTATTTATATCCCTTCATGCATCTGTTGGTCACAATTTGCATGGCATGAGCCATTCACCTCCCCTCTCCAAGCTCTCCTTTTCCACATCTCGATTGCTTTGCTTTTCTACGGATGAAGTAATTTTTGTTTGATCGGGTGATATGCATGATCCAGATGCAGATGGAGCTGAACTTCAGTTCGATGATGGGGTTCAGCATGACGACCCGTACAAGGCGCCGGCGGTATATATATATATATATATATATGTATGTATGTATGTTGCGGCACTTCCGATGCCTCAAGGAATGCCATCGCGTCACAGCTGCAGAATATGTCCGAGCTGCTGGGCGAGAAGGACACTGGCAGCATGGCACCATCTCGGGGCTCAAGGGCGCCCCCGTGTATGCGCGTCATCGAGCACTACATCAACAGGCTCCTGGCTCCTTAGGCACTTCTTCCACGAGTACATGTTGGTCTCATTTCACATGGCGCGCGTACAGGGTGCGTATAGTATTGGCATCTATCATTATGACCTGTGCGCAAGTGAGCGTCCTCGACATGAAATCAGTGATTGTATCGACATGGTGGAGGTGTATGGTGGGCTGGAGGTGGTGCAGTGTGGCAGTGGCATGGCGACTGGGAAGCTATGCGTGCTTGGTGCTAGAGAAGTCGCTGCTGCCGAGATTTGGTGCTGAAGGATTATCCTTTGATGCAACTTACTACTAATTATTAGTTTTGAGGCATAAGTGTAACCATGGTTTATGAGTTATGACATTTTTCTAATTTACTAATTAATTTCCGCCCTCAAATATTTTTTTAACTAAATCATACTTTTTTTTGTCCTGTCACTTTAGTAAGATTGCACTACCATATTTTAACATGATTTTTCAACACAAAAGTCTGTCTTTCTGATGCCATGAGTTTTTATCTAAAACAATCTATAAATTTCCCGCAGCAACGCGCGAGGTATCATCTAGTTTATCTTAAGAGTCGAACTTTATAGTTATAGCTTCTAACAAATATATTGTTATAACTCGTAGGAGCACGAGAGTCTGGGTCCGCTTCACTAAAAATTATAATTTCTTATCGTGGATTATCTTAACATTGTCATTAGGGATTTCTATGAGATTTATCTACGTTGTTGTTGATATGGTTCAAATATGTACTATACTCAGAATATCATTTAAATTTAAAGATCCAACAATTACTACGCATAACCAATGTATCAGATTCTAGCATCCTTATAAACAACTTATTCACCTTGTAATAGTTTTAGACGACACCCCGCGCTTCTACCCACTCCTTCCACCTGTGCGGAGACAGGAGGGGGGGGGCCTGGACCCCCCTAATGATGCACAATTTTCATTAGTACCTCTCATTAGTTCTTACTGATCACTAGAAATTAAATAAACAAGCCTTCTTAGTCAATTCTAAAATGTTTTTTTTTCAAATAAATCTCTTAATTGTCTAATGTTAAGTGTCTAAATATAGTAAATATGATGTGTATCGTTGACCTACGAACAACCTTTTCATTTTCAATTTAGTCATTTAGCATTTCTCTAAATAAAAAGATTAATAACATCTCTATGAATTTGGTATAGTTTACTTGCAAAACTAATAGATCTAGCAAGTTAAATCCTAGCGATTTATTATAATTTTTTAAGCCAACATCAAAATGATAATTTTTAAACTGACATCAAGATTTGGTAGTGGTACAATATATTTTCTGTGGACAGTCGATGACTCAGCCCCTCCTGTATCTAAATCCTGGCTCCGCCCTAGCCTTCCACTTTCTTATTCCGTTTCTTTCTAAATTTCAAGTTGCTCCATTTCTCATAAAAAAATGTTCGATTTGTCATTTTGTCATAAAGATAATTGGCCTTGTTTGCTTGAATTTATTAGTCCGATTTATCAGCCATGGTACAGTGTTTTCTCTTACAACAAAACAGCATCAGCCGGCTTATCGGCCGCAAAAATCATCAGCCGAGAACAGCTCGAAACAGATGGAAGGTAGTACTCAAAAACAACGATTATCAGTTTCATAATTTTACAACAGTGACTTATGTCTTGTCTCGATGTGTGACTTCTGCTTCCTTCTTTTTTACTAGTCCATGATGCGCGCCCTCGCGCGCGCCGGCAAATCACCTGATTAAGGCCACAACTTTATCTATGCATATACGATAAACAACAATAATAAGGTAAAGCAAACAGTGCAAAAAGCGAAAGAATGGCTGCACAAATTAGAGTGGAAATAGGCAGACTGTCGAAAAAAAGCAGAGCAAGGCTGAACTAATAACTGCAACAATGTGCATAACATTGACTGAACAACTTAATCCTACGTCACATATTGCACGTAGTAGAGCAATGGAGCAAGTTGGAAGATGGTTGTACCTAGGTAGAATTGGGCTCTTGGCACATGTCCTGGCCTCTACAATTGACTGGATGACTCTACCAGAGACGGGGGACAACTATTCAATGACAACAAGCATGACCTAGAAGTATCAAAGCAGCGAGACGCGGAACTTACCATTGCAATAGCAACGCGAGTTTCTTCTGACACTGCTCTATTCAGATCAGGCAAGAAGCTCCAACACTGGACAGGTAATGAACTTTTTATCCTCGTTTAACCAGAAAATCTTGTATTCACAACAGTAAATGAGGAGATGCAGATGAATTGATTTCCCATTTGTCAGAAAGATAAAGCAACCAATTTCAAACTTTGAGTGACCCAAATAGGACAGAGGATGACAATGCGCGCACAGACACTACGTATCTAAGTTTGGGACCAAATTGTGCATTAATTGTAGAAAATTTAATAGAACTACTGAAATGGCAAGAGCTGACCATGGATGCTTAGAATAAGTTAGCAGAGCACATTTACATTCCCATCCAGCGGCGAAGCCACAGTGCATGTGTCGGGGTCATGCGACCCCGATAACTTTATACGAATCAGTGGAACCACGCGTATTCCGGCCAGCTACGACCCCATCAGATTGAGTTCATAAATCTGTGCGACCCCAGCAGCAGTTTAGCCTAGATTCGCCGCTGTTCCCATCAACAAAATTCTGAAAAAGTATTCATCAGTTGACTCCTAGTTGGTCTTGAGAAGCACCTTAATTTGTAAATGTATTATTTTAATACAAATCTGCAGTGCCCATGGCTTCAAGATATAACAACCAGAAAATTTCACAACACTCAATCATCAGTGAATGGCCAGCAGAACGTGCAAAGTGAAAAACAACAAGGCATGCAATTAATCTCTGAGCTAGAATGAAGTGAAATATATGAGAAAAAGGGATAGGGTATGCAATAGCTGGTAATGAGACAATTGGCTAAAACTAAATCACCTTAATACAATCCATTAATTCAACATATAACAACTGGACAAGAGATATCCTAGGAAGCTGTGACATGATACAGTGACATCACTATATGTGGCATCAGAAAAAGCAATAGGTTTCACATGCATATGCATATAGTACTCAACACGAATTTAAAAACTTGGAAAATTATGTAATGTTTATGTATCCAATACCTTTTTTTTTCTTCAGCATTAAAAAACAAACTCATAGGTCATAAACAATGCATCAAGTGCAGTTGATAGACAGTGCATCCAGTGCAACATCCAAAGGGGGGGGGGGAATGCACCCAATTTGCGCCGGGCTTACAAATCGTGAACTAGTTGACAGGCTTTGAAGCTAAACCAAATGAACTGTCAATCGAGTTGCAGTGGCGACAATGCGAAGATAACAGTAGAGGACAAGGGAGACGGTACCGGCAGTAGGCATTGGTGGCAGTTGCTGGTCTTGTGAGAGGTGATAGGCGGCCACTGCAGCCAAGGTGGACTGCGGGAGGAATGCGCCAGGGAGCAGCACGGCGAAGCAGAGTCACCACGCCGGGACAGCAGCAGTTGGGGCCTAGCTAGGCCGCCGTGGCATGATGGGCACTCGTGCCAGGGCTGTCGCATCCGGAGCCGCCGCGCCGAGTGGCGCCTGTGCCGAGATTGCCGCGGCCGAGGGCTGCCGCGCCAGGGAGGCAACGTAAGCTACAGTGCGGGGCAATCACCTGTGCAAAGGGGAAATGGATGGAGAGAGGACTTGGGGAGGAGCAATGAGACAGACTAGGAGGAGGAGAGGGTGAGGTACCAGGAGGTATGGCCGACGAGCTGAGCCGCGGGCGAAACCCTAGGTTGGCGTCGTCATCGCGGCGGTGGCTGGCCGCCTAGGCCAACGTGCCGATCCGGGGGCGGAGAGGCGGACGCGGCATCCGTCGGTGGCAACCTCGCCGGGGGGGGCAGCCTGCCGAGGGCGGGGGTGGATGTGTCGGTCGGCGGGTTGGGGACGGTGCGGGTGAGGAGAAGCGCCGGGAGGCCGCCC